TTTTTTTTTACTATTTACTTTTTTATTTATTTTATTATTACTTTTTTTTTTAATAGCATTGCACATCAAAGAATTGTTTCTTTTTGGATTTGTGCTCAAGGTGCTCCAATAGTGGCCTCTTGCCTTGTAAGTCAGTTTGTTGAACTATGGAAAAAGCAAACAAACTGGACAGCATAATGCTGCGGAAAGAGGAGTGGAGCTCTAGAACATGTGCCGTTGTCAGGAATGGAAGGAAAAAAGCTGCTTGCATTCAGGAATCTGCAAGTTGGATTACTGGCCAAATAGATGTGTAGCTGACGTCATAATTATCAGAGATAAAGCTGTCAAAGAAAAATTCTAGAAAAGGGGCCTCTGACATGACCAGTGACTTAAATCCAGATCCTACCGAAGCAAAAAGCTTGTCATCACTTCCCTTCTACTATGATCTAGTGGTTGTTTCTATTCTGAATCCCATATGCATGCGTAGGTCTGGCACGTCTGTGGGACGGGACTTAAATTCGCTCTAATTAGCCTGTTGGAACTGTCTGGCCTGCTGTGGTACTGTGGTAGGGATGTACTACATCAGATTACAGCTTCCCATCAGCTGCCAGTAGATTAACTCCGTGTTGCTCATTGAGCTGTTCTCGGAGGTAAAAAGTTATTTTCAAGTGTGGCTTCTTCGTTTTGGTTGGATGAAGTAACAAGCTGATACAGTGAAAACCAAGCCCTTTACGTCTGATGTTAAGCACAAGAGCAAAGTGTGGAGAACAGCATTTTAATTTGCTCCTTGAGATAATTTTTTTATTATTATTATTTCTGAGGTTTGCCAAGAGTTGACTGGATTTACTGGGTTGCTGTGGCATAGGGGATGACCTTACCAGGAAGTTTGAAAGAGGGATTTCAGTTGATTATGTGCACTCTCAGGTGTCTGTTTTGGGTCCAGCATATCAAAATAATACTGTGCATTTTTTCTTAAATACTCTGGTAAGTTCTGACTTTATGCTTCTGCCTGGTTAATAAGGCAGTTGTCTCGCTCTCCCTACTCTTCCTCCTCCTGACAAGGCATCAGCACACACATGTCCTGAAAACAATGTAACCCTTTAATACATGATGGGAAGTGAACAAAAAGATGCACTAATTCAGCAGTAATTATTCAAGATACTGTAAAGCAGTGTTCAAGAATGATACTTTGGAATGGCAGTTGCCCTAGATGGGTATATTGTAAGTAACAACCTCAAGAGATAGAGGCAGAGAAGTTGCAGCTGTATGTGATAATGTTCTCCGGGATGAAAGCTTTGATGATGGTGCTTTGTGACACAGTCTCTTTGGCAGTAAGCTAATACATGTGGAAATATGCTGGTTTTACTCAGATGTTTTCAATATGCTTTTTCTTACAGTTCAGTGCAGGAATCTTACCAGTTTTGATGTTCAGCCTTGCAGATGTGATGAGGGTTTAGCTCTCAATACGCACACAGCATCAAATGAATCTATCACAGGACATCAGTTAATAAACTGTGCTTTTGTTTTGCTTGGCAGTTACAAAGGTCCATTGTTAGATGACGGAGCGCTGGCTCAGGCAGTCTCTCGTGGAGCCAGTTCCCCTGAATTCACCAAACTCTGTGCTTGGTTGGTATCCGAGTTACGGCTGTTCTGTAAACTAGAGGAAAATGTGCAGGCAACTAACAGTAAGTAGCCATAACTCTAGCACAAACGTGCACTTAATGTGTATTCTTGCGTGCCGGAAAGATTTAGGCTGATAATTGCTAAATCTGTTGTACCAGGGAGTATCATCTGCACGCTGTCAGATTTTGGATGCTTTCCACCTTCAATGTTGTCTAATGGACCAGTAGAGGTTGAAATAATAGTGAGGATCAAATGGTCTTTCTTCTGAAAAGAGATTTTTTTTTTTAATTGCTCAACCATAGAGGTTTGTTTTAAAGTTCCTAGATGGATTTAAGGAAACATTAATGGGTTTTTTAAAATAGATCATGAGAATACTTTTATTTCAGTGCTTCTGTTTGTAATGTTAATGTAAGAAATACCTACTGTTAAAGGAAACCTTCTCATCACTACAGTAACTATATTTTTATTGTTAGTTACCTTAACTCTGTGCTTACTATGTGTTTTTCCCTCTTTATGAAACACTCGTGGGAGAAGGAGCCTGAAGATGTTTGTTTATCGATTTGGTAGAGGTAGCAGACCTTAGTTTTCCAAAAATGTTATTTTCAGTCAACTAGTCATGACATTGTACATGACTAATTTAACAATTGGTATGATGACCTGTACTTCTGAGTAATGCCGGTATATTGACTCATAATGCCTTCATGAACTGAACTTGCAATCTGCCCAGGGGCCAAAGATTGCTGCCTTTCAGCAGCTGTTCTTTTCCACTTTCTTTCTGGTTTTGACATATCTCTCCCTTCTTCTTTGAGTGTATTTGACTCCTTTTCTCTGTAACAATACAGCATCTCACCTCTTGTAGTAGTATAAGGTTCCTACTATACATTTTGTGTAAAAAATACAATCCAGAAGTATTGTAACACCTATGTGAAATTCTCTAAACACAGGGATAGAAACAATTTATCTGTCGTATCATCAAGTCCCACCTTCTTTTTGTGTGACTTGAATTTAGAAATAACAGACATCTTGGGTTGAGGTCCCTTTTGAAAAGCGGAAAAAACGTTACCTCTCATTTATCACTATTTTTTGCATAACTTGGCTTAACAAGTTCAGATGAGTTTCAGTAATTTTGGACACAAATGTCAGTCAAAGCTTTGTCTTACGTGAATTATTTTTAGAGGATATTGGTATGAAATAAGATCAATTGACAAATGTGAGCTTACAGGGAGAAGTAATAAAAACACGAGAGCTCATAAACCACATTATTCATATCAGAACTATCTAATACGTTCGTAGTGGGAACAGTTAGCTGATATTTAAAATGCCCCTGTAAAATTTGTGATGTTTGTAATGGCACTTTTCATTGTAGAAGTTGCTGGTGGCTGGCTGTTGTAGCTGGGAAAAGCTGACAGTGAAATGTCATTTTACAATAATGAGGAATAGCATGGCTCCAAATAGATGGTGCTGTGCCTTTGAGAAACCCAAAGAACGCTTCTGTTAAAGCAGGGTTTTAATGTTAAGTAGCGATTGGAGCAAAGCATTATTTGTGGGTTTGTTTTTTTTTTTTTTAAAGAGCTAATTCATTCTAATCATAGCCTATGTGTGTATATATTAGATGTAAACAAATTATTATTCTTTTCCTTCTAAGGTCCAAGCGAAGCAGAAGAATTTCAACTCGAAATGAGTGGGTTGCTGGCTGAAATGAACTGTCCATACGCATCGTTAACGTCAGGAGATGTGACAAAACGCCTTCATAATCAAAAGAACTGTCTCTTACTGCTTAGTAAGTGGAAAGGGCACTTGCCAGCAGATCTGCTTTTGTGCAAGAATCAGTGTTGTTTCTTACAGTTAATGAAATACTGTTTTGTTTACTACAATGAGTAGAAACAGTGACCTAAAATTATGAATTGTTTTTCCCTGCAATTTACAGTGTCAAAATAGTGTATTTCTGGTTCTCATAAACTTACCAGTCACTTTATAGCTAGTATATGATAGAAAATACTTTGAGTATTGACCTTTTTCACATTCACTAGCAAGAAGCCTGTCCTACCACTTCTCAAAAGGTACTCTGAAGAAGGAAAAATAGTGCCAGGATTTAGCCACTGAACTTTGTTGAGAAGGGTTGTAAAAATGACCGCTAACATCAGATGCATTCTCATTTTGGAGCCCCCACCATGATTACTAGCAAGGTGCAATAAGACTTGCATTTTCCTACACTCTGACAACAACTGGAATTGTGAAAAAGAGAAAATGTTTTATCCCAACTCCTAGTTCTTTTGGTCATCTCCCGTAGTAAATAGCTTCTATGTTGCTTTCTGATGATTGAAAAGAAATTAGCAGTAGTAACGGTGATGTCTTCCCCTTCCTTTTTCACACAGGAGGTCTCAATACCTAAATTGGTTTTATTCCTGCTTAGGAAATGTTAGAGGAGAAAAAATTAGTACTTAAATTGTGAAAAAGTGTAATGTTGATACACATTAAAAAAAAAAATATTTTTTACAAGTGTCAGAGTTAGAAATTATAATACTAATTTTAATCTGATCTTAAATTCAGTATAAAGTAATGTTTTATTTGTTTCCTCAATTGCTGCTGGTTTCTTTAACTTTTCAGAACAGAAATTTAGTTCTCAGGTGAGAGGGCAGAAATAATTCCAGAGTAGGTTCCTGTATTTCATCATTAGGAGACAGATGAGCAGTAAGGCTTAATCTGAATGAGTTTTGATGGTATGTTAAAAAATGTCAGATGGAGTGAGGTAATTATTGCATTTAAAATACTTTGTAGCTCAATCTGCCCTTCAGCTTATTCTCTGTAAGCCGAGCCATTCAATAAATTTGGCTTGGCTGTGACACACAGTTTATCCCAGAGGTCCCCTGGGATGTACATTTTGGTAATATAAGGCCACGTTCAGAAGCTGAACCCTGGTATCCCGTCTGGCAGGAGTACTGTGTTTACTGTCAAATGTGGAATTGAAATGGATGCCAAACTCCTTTTGTGTGTACCATGATAGGAATACCTAAAACTTCAGCATAGCTTTCTTTACCTACGTTAAGCTAAGTTATTAGGTATCCTGGTGTATGTGAGCTATAAAACCAGATTTTTTTCAGGAAAAACAGAATAACCCTCTTAATGGAATGCCAGAGTATTTTACATTTTAACAAAATGCAGCACAGTTTACATCAGTTGGAGGATGTAGCAGTGTTGCTGGGAGAGGAAAGCACCAAATAAACATAAGTAGTTAGGATTGTCTTGGTGTGCAGCGTCACTGGAATGGAATATTAAGTACTGGCATCTGCAAAAATAGAAAGGACAAGATTTTCAGGTAGGTTTAGAAAAGGTCTGCAAAAAATCACTATCTGGAGTACACTGATGTCTCACAGTGATAGATGTAAAAATTTCAGCCTTTGGCAGAGGAGGTTGAAGGTAGCTTGAATGTGATCTCTGGATTCTTGAAACAAAATTCTGCTGTTACTTTCTTTTTCAGGAGGTCCTAACGAGGTGTAAATAATTGAAAGTTGAATAGAAGAAAAATCTGTATAAAGTACTGTTGAAAGAACTTACAAAGGATTCCTCACTGCTTTACATATTTTAAGAATTTTATAATTTATAAGGTGTTCTGTGTCTTTATCAGAAGACATCCTAGAGATCTAGAAGAAATTCTAGAGATCATTAAAATGCTTTGTTTGACAATATAGGTAGTAAGCTGCTTTTGTGTATCCATGGGTTTACATCCCTGCTCACAAGTCTGTCTTTATCTATATCTGTCAGTATATATTTTTAAATCCTTATTTTTAGAAATAATTATTTATGTTGTTGTTACGGTCATTCAGTATAAGTCATGATAAAAATATTGTTAAACCTGTGCATGTTTTTCACGTCAAGCTTTAAAGTTGTAACAATTGCAAGCCAAAGCTATGTGCTAAATTTATTATCACTGTAGCCTACACCTAAGGCTGAACTTTTGGGTGCAGACCACGTTCAGAAATTATGTGATTGTAATAACTTTTTTGTTTGTTTGATAAAGGAGTTACAATGGGATGCTAGACTCGTGCAGTTCTGATGTTGAAGAGCACTGCAGGCATCCTAGCTTCTATTTCATCAGTTACTTCCTTCCTTTCTGGAATTATTATAAACCTGAATTCTCAATAGTACTTTTAAAAGTGGGGTTCTTTTTCCACTCTGCATCTTGCCTGGAGAAGTAGAGGAGATCATCCAACATTTCACTTCTCTACTCATTTCCTTGCTTGGTTTCCTAGAGCCTCCAGTATTGCTTGCTTGCTAGCTGAAAGCGCATGTACCAGTCCCCCATCTTGCTTATTTCCGTGTTCTAGTCTCCTGTCTTTGCTGGGCAAAGCCTGAAGGAAAAGAGTTGTGGTCTTTTGAACTCCGTGATTAATACCTGTTGGAATCATAGGGATTTTTTCCAGGCTTTGCTTGGCTGTACTAAACCTTTCCTGTTTGTTGTGTTTCTAGCATTGGGCTCAGTGATTATTAGAAGTAGGAGCACTCTGTGGATACCAAAACTGTAGCCCTAACTCTTGCTAAAACAGTCCGTTTGCACATTTGTTTGATTGTAAGCACTCGAGTTCTCACTGGTTCTAAAATAATTTAACTCGGCTATATCTGATGCTGAAATTTGATTTTTCTTACCCCAGCATACCTCATCTCAGAACTGGAAGCTGCCAGAATGCTGTGTGTGAACTCCCCTCCTAAAAAAGCACAGGAAGGAGGTGGCAGTGAAGTCTTCCAGGAGCTGAAAGGCATATGTATTGCTTTAGGCATGTCCAAGCCTCCAGCCAACATAACGATGTTCCAGTTCTTCAGTGGAATTGAAAAAAAAGTAAGATCCAAAGGAACAAAACTAGAATATTTGTGATGTTACTGTTTTGATGGAAAATAGTTCTGCTATGAAGGAGAAGTTTGCCTCTTGTGAAACTCCAGTGTTTGAATTGTGAAGGGAAGTTAACATGGTTTACTGAGTGAGTATGCCAAGGGTCAGGATTTTGAAAATGAATTTAAAGGCTTTTTCCACGCCAAGGCACGGGGTCAGGGACTACTGCTATCATTGCCTTCTGGGGCGAGGTGTTTCTTACTCTGCTCTAGGTTTTAATGTCATCACCTGTTGCAGAAGACATGGAAAATGCTGAGCTTAGGCCTTAGGAAGAATGTTGTTAAGCAGAAAAGTATTCCAAGAAATACACCTACAAAATTTTTTACAGGAACCTACAGTTTTTAAAATGTTTAGGTTAAAAGGTGGCATAACTAAAGTCAAGTTTACACCTTTTCCCCAAGGCTTCATCCGTTCTTGTGGTTCCTTTTTTTTTTTTTTTTTTTTTTTTTTTTTTTTTTTTTTTTTTTTTGTTTGTTCTTTTACATGTGTGCATTCTCTGGATTATTGTGGGGTTTTTTTTAAGAAATTCACTTTTGCTTGAGTAATTTTTATAAAGCAGAGAAATGAAGTGGAACGGACTGTCCAGTGCATAGACCAAAGGTCAGGACAGAAAGCTTTAAAGTTACATTAAGTAACTGAACTTGCAGGATAGGGGAGAGCAGAAGGGCAGAAGAGAACCTTTGTGAACTTAAAGGAACAAATATGGTCACGAAGCTCCCCAAAATACTTTCACAGAAGTTTTTTGACTAGCCTTTTAGTTGTGTTTTACTTAAACAAATCCAAGCAACTGAAAATAGTCTTTCATTTCTCTGCAAGAATTCAGTTTCAGTTGACCGGTTTGAGAAGAGGAGGATGGTTTTCCAGCAGAAGTCCAAGGTGTAGAATGGAAGCATTTTGTTTTCTGGTTTTGCCAGTGTCATGGGCATTAAATAGATACATCAGAAATCTGTGCTTCCATTTTCTATAAAAGGTAGAAAATATTTGTAACAATGCACAATGCTAGCAAGCTTTGCTGGTGAAAGAGACTGTAAAAATCCAGAATACAAAGTAGATAAAAATATTTTTAATTTGGGAATACTGTTATGTTTTACTAATTGACTTTCTTTTACATTGTCTAGCAAGGTTAAATGAATGTTATTGCAGTGGTTTATATCCGTAGGTGCTTATACTAAAAAAAACCTGAACAGTCCTTATAGCTCAATAAAATACATCAGGAATTTCTAACCTACAGGGTTTTTTTGTGTAGATGCAGTTCTCACACTCTGAACACTTCAAATGTTGGTAGTGTTTGAGAAGGAGAAAGCTGACTGGTAACTGAAGAACTTATTTCACTTTGTAAATGAAAATACATCACAAAGTTGAGCAAAATGCAAAAAGTTAAATAACAGAGTGAAAATTTTACTCTTGAGTGTAAGATGATAACAGGAGATCACCCTAAAGTTTTACTATTTTTAAAAAGTGAGTCTTAGAATGGCAATATTCTGATCTAGCATTTAAAAGTCAAGCTACCTTTTCCTTCACACGTACATAGTACACTTTGGAGGAGGATCTTCGTTTAATTGACTCTTTGTTAATAATCCACCACCTTCAAAAAGAAACTGCTGATACCTGAAAGAACCTTCAGAATACCTTTGCTGTTCTGAAAGCACTTGGTTTTAAAATCTTCAAGTTAAACAAACAGGGCTCAGCACCTTTGGAAAACCAGGTCACTGAGCGTGTTAAATGAACTGCTGGAATGAGCAGCCAAGGAAGCTGAAAAATGTGGTTTGCAGCAGTGGAAAAGTGAAGTTTCATAACTCCACCCTGCTTTCATCCAAGTTTTTGTTGCTGCTACTCCATTTCTTCCCCCGAAGTCCTCAGAAATTTTGAGATGGGAAAGAGAACCTAAGTTGTGCCCAAACTTTTTAAATGCAAGTTGAATTTACATTTTCATATTGAACATTTCCTCTTTTTGATTGTAAAGAGGGGTCCTTCTGTAGGTCATGTTATATTTTACATAGTCTTAATGGAACCTTTTTGATACAAGTGTGGTCTTTTTTCTGAGTTAGAGATGATTTGTAGAATGATCCCTCTGTCTTCAAGGGGAGCTGTACCTCATAGAATCTTTCTATTTTAACTGTAGATCTACTCTATAGTCCCTTCTCTTAATTTTTAAATAATTATAGCCAAGCCTACCAGAAATATAAAAATAGTTACTTTCCAAAAAAAGAAGTGTGCTTGGTTCTCTGTCCCAGAGAAAACAGCTTGATATTGGAGGTTACTCTGTCATGCCTGTGACTGTCCAAGAGTAATTGTAATTTGAATCTTGAAAAGCAAGGGTTTTTTACCCAATGCTTATATTTTTATATGTCTCCTAACAGCTTAAGGAAACCCTAGCAAAGGTTCCACCTAATCATGTTGGAAAACCTCTATTGAAGAAACAACTGGGACCAGCTCACTGGGTAAGTAGTTCCAGGTATTAGGGCCTGTTTTCCTTTCTCAGGTGTATAAAGTATTGATCTTAATTCTGTGTGTGGTGTTGTAAAATGATTTTTCTCATCTCTTTCTGAGGATGAGAAGACAATTTCTTGCAGTATTTTACATATATGTTGGTACAATGAATGTTCAGCAGCTGATAAGATCTTGGGCTCATGAATCTGTGCGTCCAGATGCAGGCAGAAGTTTTCCAAAATAAAGGAGATTTACGGTGGTGGTGCTGAGCTGCGTGCTTGCATAGCAGCTTAAGCCTTCCTCTCCTGCCCCTTGCCAGCACTGTCTGTGTGACCTAGCCTTGCTGAGATGGTGTCACATCCCCTCCTGTGACTTCTTTTCAGCTAACCTGTGGGGCTCTGACTAGACCACTGTCTGCTACCAGGTGTGTTTCTAGTGAGGGCTTTTCCCTGTAGGGCACTTTGTGCTCTTGTCTGTATGCAGATTGTGCTTTAATCAAGATCCTCTTACAGTACTTTACTTACTTTTAGTCCTCTGTCTTTGCTCTATCTTTGTCCTTAAGCTTCCTACTTTTTAAGAAGGTGAGGACACCCTGGTCCCTAGGACTTGCGTATGTCCTTGCATCTCCTTCAGCTTGTTGCATGTAGTATTTTCTCACTTTTGCTTCTCAACACCTGGTGGGTGTTCAGAAATGCCTCAGCAGCACGTGCAGTTTTTACATCCCTTGTGAAAAGCAGACAACTATGCTCTTAGAAATGGTAGAAGGCTGAATGTGAGGATAACAGAGCATTTGAAGCCTTCAGGAAAATAGTGTCAGCAGGCATAGCTTGCTGTAAGCCCATTTGACAATGTAGGTAAGTGTGGCCTTAAACCCTGCTTAATATCTCTGTGTGTCTTACTCTTCCATCCACATAGTTTATTATCTCAGTTGTGTTTTGTTTTTGTTTCAGGAAAAAATTGAAGCAATTAATCAAGCCATAGTCAACGAATACGAAGTCCGAAGAAAACTGTTAGTGAAACGTTTGGATGTTACTGTGCAGTCCTTTGGCTGGTCAGATAGAGCTAAGGTACAAACAACTTGTTGTGAAGTCCTGCTTGATGGTGATGCTTTCTAATAATCATTGTTTCATCCCTTGTGAGTAAGAAATAACCACAGGAGTTGTCTGGGTTTGGTTTGAGTTTCTGAAGAAGTTTATGACAATGTAAGATGACTAAAAAGTTTTTCTTAAAACGGATTTGTTGGATTGTAAAATGAGAAGGTAGACCATGTGTAACTATACACCAAAGCCGAAACATACAGTTAAATAGGCCACTGGAAAAAATAGTAAGAGATTACTGGTCCAACCATTTGTGTTCAGAGTACCGTAACGTGAATCACTAAGTGCTGTGTCTGTGTGATGGTAGAAAAGCATCTTCCTGTTGACCATCCCTTAACTACCTTTGTGCTGTCCACAGTGATCAGATTTCCTTAACTCAAAAGTGTCTGCAAGCACAACTCCCCAGATGCACATGAGAAAAGCTGCTAAGGCACTACTTGTTCTCTTACCTCATAGACAGGGTAATACTTTGTGTGCTGCTTTTGTCTTTGAACCGTGCGAGTGGCTGTGACATGCCGTCTGTTCTCTCTGAGTATCTGGCACATATTCTGCTTTTAAAAATAATTAGATGGTTTCCCTAATTCCTGTATTTCATAGTGAAAAAAGAATGACAAGATTTAAAAAATAGTAATATCATTTATTTTCTAGGACTAAACCAGATCTGCTAACATGGTCTTAATTGTGCTGCTGGCAGTGTTTGAAACGGAGTTGTTAGTGTTAAACTGTGACACATGAATCATCAAGTGTTTTTTCTTGATAAATGATTTATTCCAAAAGCACCTGTATTTTAATAATAAAATGTGACCTCTCCCCTTTCCTCTTTCATCACCTGAGGAGGAATTCTGGTGTCCTTTTTCTTAAACCTGTATTCTTCAGGTTTTTTAGAGATGATTGAAGAACTATCTGATTGTTTGAATATTTTAATAGTGGCTGAAAATGGGCGAAAGTATGGATTAGGTTAAAACCCAGGGACTTCTAATTGTGTTGTAGCTTTGGCATCCAAATCTGTGTGTTTGGTTTTTTTCCTAGCAGAATTCTCAGATGCTATTGAACCTAACTAGCTACATAAAATCCTCTCACAAAAACTACAAATTTTTTGTATCTATTGAAGTGCAAATGTAAATTTGTTAGAACCATAACAATACAAAATTGGAGAACGTGGCTCTGGAATTGCAGACGTGTTTAAACGGTAACTTTTAGCAGTGCTTTAATATGCATGATGGTAAAATAATAAAAATTACCATGCATGATGTTTTTTTTTTTTAATTTTAAAATTTGAAAACTATCAGAATACAGTAGTATAACTAAGTAGTTACTTCAGATAACACCAGTAAAAACTTTATTATTATGGGGTTTTTCAGTTGAAAACTTTCAAGTTTCACCTAAAAGAATATCATAGCAGCAAAATACTGTTCTCAGAGCTCAGTCAGACTTTCCAGGGAAAAACATACTGCTGCCTTGGTGAATACTATTGCTTCTCCTGTCTTTAGCCAGCGTCAAGTAGATGACATAGATATTCTCCTTCATTTTGAATAAACCCTGTTCAACCTGTAATACAAAAGTAGAAACTTTTGGTTCTAAAATCTTACCACTGAGTCACTTGGAAATACATACTCTCAGTTATTCACAGTTCCAGTTTTCTGCCTTTAGATGGAAAATAGAATTTTAAAATTTGCTCCTGAGTTCTTTCCCTGTTAAGGGATTTGTTGGAAAACCTGGTTTACCTGTCCCCACTGCTGTCATCTGGGGTCCAGACAAAAAGCAGCCCGTTTGTCTGCGTGCAGATTGCGATCTGGTTTATCCTGACTGCATCACACAGTCTACTCTGTTGATAACTGAAGACAGATGTAACTCAAGTATCAACTCAGGGCTGGAAGCACAGATTACCGTTGTGTCTGTCGGTTGGAAAACTGCTGTCACGATTCTGAGATGATAGAAAAAAGCCAGGATGGTTAATGCCAAAAGACACTAGAGGAAGAGAGATTGCATACAAGGCAAGGGTGACGTGTAGGATCTCATTTCCAGCTCAGATTAATTTTTGTTCTATTTGCAGTGGTGTTTTGTTCTTCAGTGTTGATCTGATTCTTTTGCTGAGGTATCCCATTGCTTTCCTATTACTTTACCTGACTGGCTTTTGTTTTTCTTCTCTCCAACAGAGTCAAACAGAAAAACTGGCTAAAGTCTACCAGCCAAAACGTGCCCTCTTATCTACTAAGTGCACTATTTCTGTTGCAAATCTCTTGGCAGCTCGTCAGGATCTGTCAAAGATTATGAGAACAAGCAGTGGGTCCATCCGAGAGAAGACTGCATGTGCCATTAATAAGGTACCTCTGGTGACAAAGGGCTTCTTCTGTTATGAATATTTAAGTAACTTGAATGTAGTAATAAATCCTACTTTTTTTTTTTTTTGCAAGTGGCATTTGGAAATAAAGGATAAGTAACTTGGTGTTAACGCACTGATGCATACTCCAGAGTACGTAATGGGAACTGTTCAGGTTCAGAGTGCCCCTGCTTAGGGGCAGTAAAAAAATTGCTGAAATATCTTTGATTACTTTCAATAGGAGAAGGCCTGCTCTGTCTTATCAGAATTACTAATGTCATTACACTGCTGTTACCTAATTCTGTCACTGTGTCTAAAACAACACCTGCATAGAATCATAGAATCATTAAGGTTGGAAAAGACTTTAAAATTTGTGGGTGTACATGCATGCTTTCTCCATTTTGGGTACCAATTGTATTTCAGGTAATATTCTAGTTCATCTAGGATGGAATGGTGGTGTGCTGATAGGACCACTCCCTTCACCCCAAATAATTTTTACACCTTTTTTTGGTGTAGTTGGAGTGTGGAATGTAAAAGAAATTAAGTGGGAAGACAGTGTGACTAGCATGAGACTGTATGTATGTTTTTGTAGGAATGCAATACTGCCCTGCTGCTGATCCATATCCTCTTATCTCCATTATCAATATTAAATGTTTTCCAGGACAGTAACATAAAGTAACAAACTAACCTGGTTCTATTTTAAGTTTTTCTGTTATATCACTTTAAAACATGAAGCAATGCAAGTGTCCTGTCCCATTTGAAGTTGTGCTAAATTCTTAATGTCACAGCATCCTTGGACAGCTAAAGACCTTCTGGAGTCTTACTCAACTCTGGTCAGCACTGTCTGACACCTGTTTGTTGGTTTGTGAATTTGTCTGTGCATGTCCTTAGTGAAAAATAAAAATCTTTGCACTTGGTTTACCAAAGATATCACATGTTAAGCAATGGCTTCTACAGCAATTTAGAGCACTTTTTAGGAGACAGACCTAGTGGGAGGTGTCTCTGTCCATGGCAGGGGGGTTGGAACTCGATGATCTTTAAGGTCACTTCCAACCCAAACCATTCTGTGATTCTATGATCTGTCACATTCAAACATACAAAAGTTTGCCTTGATGAAATCCTCTGGATTTAAGAACCCTTGAGTGGCTTGTATCAGTAAGTGTGACTCTTCTGTGAGGTGTTACAAGTCCTGCAGCAGTTCTCCCTTTCCCTTTGCAGGTGCTAATGGGTAGAGTGCCTGACAGAGGAGGAAGACCCAATGAAATTGAACCGCCACCTCCTGAGATGCCACCGTGGCAGAAAAGACCAGAGGCTGGTCCACAGCAGGGTGGTGGCAGAGGAGGAAGAGGTGGCTATGAATCCTCTTACGGAGGGCGAGGAGGTTATGACCATGGGGGTCACGACCGAGGAGGAAGAGGAGGCTATGACTCATCATATGGAGGGCGAGGAGGTCACGAACAAGGAAACCATGACCGAGGGGGACGAGGAGGACGTGGTGGTTATGATCATGGCAGCCGAGGAGGCGGAAGAGGAAACAAGCTGCAAGGAGGTTGGACAGATGGTGGAGGTGGTGGCTACCAGGATGGCAGCTACAGGGAGAGCAACTACAGAGATGCAGGTTTTCAAACGGGTGGCTACCACAGTGGTGGTGGTGGTGGCGGCTACCAAGGAGGAGGCTATGGTGGCTACCAGTCATCTTCATATTCAGGAAGTGGCTACCAAGGGGGTGGTGGTGGCTACCAGCAAGACAACAGATACCAAGATGGTGGGTCCCACAGTGACCGAGGGGGTGGCCGCGGAGGAGGGGGGGGGTGGCGGGGCGTCGTGGTGGCCGCGGAGGTCAAGGAGGAGGCTGGGGAGGCAGAGGTGGACAGAACTTTAATCAAGGGGGGCAGTTTGAGCAGCACTTCCAGCATGGAGGTTATCAGTATAATCAGTCTGGCTTTGGACAAGGAAGACACTTCACGAGCTGAGGCTGCTAAAAACTTTTTTGCTTTGTCAGAGCTCACGTAATAGAAACCTGGTGTCAGAGGTCTGGCTTAATCACTGCTTGAATTAGTACAGGTTTGTGTGTGGCAGGTAGAATCTCTTGGGGTGGGATGTTTTGCATTGAGCAAAGTAAAACCTTCTGTAGACCTCTCCTCTCCCCCACCTCCCAAGCTCTCTGAATTAAAAGCGTCATGACTGCACCCTAAACGTCAACTAATAGCCCTGCTTTTTAGATGTTGGACTGATTCCCTCTGCTCAAAACACTTTTGTTCTGAAACTACCTGCTGCGTTTGCCTTCCGCTTTGATTTAGAGAAATATCAAGACCTGCCTGGTCAAATTTGTCTGTTCTAATACCCAACAGAACTTCTGCATTTGTCCCTCTAATCATTATTCAGTTACATGTTCTAAAACCAGTTCTGGGTATTGCTTTTTGGCTTGCTGGCCTCTTCTTTTAATCACAC